CTCTCTTTACATATACTAAATTCCTTTAAATTTAGTCACTCACTGGATTCCACAATCCCGTTCTAAGGATGGAGAATAGTAAGAAAGACACTAATGGTGGTCCGAAACCGGTTCGTGAAGAAAAAGAACTTTAAACTACAAAAGGTTAGTATTCAAACTCATTGAGTTTTAATGCTTTTGAACATGCTAGCTAATTTATTATAATTGATGATTTCATGAGTGATAGATACAAATTTTTATATTATTGCACGGAATGGATGATCATATAATAGTTATATAAAGCATGTTAGATACATGTTATAGGTTATTTTCAACATCATAAAACGAGATAGACGTTAAAATCTATTATGAAGATAAATGCATGCTCACTTAGGGCTAACAACCAAGCACAATCAATTTTAATAGTTAAAATAGGTCAATATCTTGTAAAACCGCGGTTACAAGAAAGCTCACCTGGCATGATTTTGTCTAAGGCTGGAGGTACTTAAGTTGACGGTTTACAGAATACCAACTACCTAGAGATCGGGCCAATACTTGAGCTTAGTTAGCCCAGTTTTATGAGCATGCATGAATGATGTAAGGATTATTATTATTTTTTTTTTTAAATGGAAAAAACACCTAAACATCATAGGTAAAAATCCAGTATAAATATTATACTTGGAAAAATTACCTAGACTTAGGTTATATTTAATTAGCCAGAATATACATAAGTAATGAGTATACCCAACCGTCTAAAATATTTAGTGGGAGGAAAAAGGTATATGAGATACATCGTTTTCTTTTTACGCTCTCTGAAAAATTCACACCGTGAGATTCATGCTCGGCCTCGTGTTGCCTTGGGAGCAGCCTCCATACGGAAGGTATTTGCATTAGTCAATAACAAGGTGAATAGAGAAAATATTTATAGTAAGTGGGAGAAGGAAGTATATCAACACGTCCTATTGTCTCCACCACTAGGTTGCACCATGAGATTCCTATGTTCCACCTAATGTTGCCCTAGAGCAACTACCCATTCGAAGGGTCGTAACATGGGAGTCGAAACAACGCAAACTCCAGAAATGGATAGGATTTTCTTAGGTCCATTCCCAACTTTGGCTTATTCATTCGATAGCATTGTTGGGGCCGATCTCTGAGGTCTGAAAATGGCGAGTCACACTTACAAAGAATTACTAAGAGTTTGTATATTTTTAACCAAAGTGGCGATAACTAAAACACTATAGGAATAAGAGTTATTCTGGAATTAGTGTTTAAGTTAAGAATGTCTTGGTTTAGTGAAGGAGTGATTGACTGCCCGTTGGTTTAGTGAAGAGTCGAGCTGGTAGTAAAAAAAGGACGTAGACCAAGATAACTCCAAATGAATTTAAATCAAAGCTTAATTCTCAAGATTTAGGAACTATCATCACTAGATTCTTGTCCCAATATGTTGCCCATATTGCCCTATTTACTCTATATGGATTTATTAAAGGTCGTATGGGGAGTTGTACCCAGGTTATTGGATTCAAAGTCTAAATTGCTAACTATTACACCATAGAACTCCTTGTTAAAACTTACTTTTGCATGATTTTCATGTTTTATGTCGGCTGAGTCATGTTCCATAAATTAATATTAGAGATAAGATGAAATGTCCTATCACGAGTCAAACACAAGTTATTCGTTATTGAATTTAAAGTTCTAGAGATGTTTTATCTAGCTCGTTGTGATACTAATGAAAACCAATGTTACTCCAACTTTCAATGTTTTAAGATCCGAGTCCTTTAAAGACCATATACAAAACACATACTTGCAAACATACTAAAAGAAACAAAATACCGATTTTAATAATAAAATAAACAAAAAATTATTTTAAACAAAAATTTATGTAGGTGCCGCTCAAACGAGAGGACCCCTAAAAAAATAGCCGCATGCAACTTGGAGCGGCGAGTACATGGTATCTTTAATAAAAGGCAAAAGAATAGTTCGTTGTGTGGTCACCGCACTGCTCCATGAAAGTAAATAGATACGTTGATGGTCTTATATAGGTTGTAGACAATTTCTTCTGCAACTTGTTTTTGATGTGGACTTTACCCACCAAAGAGTATTATTATTATCTTTTCGACCATTGTTTTTTTGTATTGCAAATCAATTGAACTATAAATTTATTAATTTATCAATTTATTTCATCTATTTTATAAGTTATGGATTAAGGAAAATGACTAAAATGCCCCCCAGATTATTAACCCTACGATTTATGCATAAGGACCTTGAATCTTATTAAGAATCATGATCAGTGTGAGTTATTTGCTTCCTGTCACCGTTAGGATAACCCCAAATTTTTAACTAATTCTTCTCATGTCCCTCTTGGACACGTGTTGGCTATGTATTGAACATTGGTTGGATAGGTATTGAACATTTCTTAATACAGTAGATATGTTAAACATTTAAATCTAACCTGTCATATCAGACACTTGACTCTGGTTAAATTTTGAAAACGAAATGTACATTAAACTATATTTAAGCATACAAATATATAAACTTATTTATTTTGAATCTCTTTTTAATATAAAATTAATTAATTTTAAAATATGTTTTTTTAAAGCTAACGTGCATTGTCACATTGGTGTCCTAAATTTTTTTAAAAAATGACATGTTACCATAAGTATGTGGTATCATATTTATGTCTCTTATCCATATCTCATTTTTATTGTTGTGGCTCTTAGATATTTGACTTCTATAAGTCGATATACTCACCAAAAAAAGTTTAATTCATGTTCAAATGGAGAATAAAAGTTGACACTTATCCAAGTTGATATTCGGAGTTTGATTCTTTTAGTGCAACTTGGAATTACTTAGGTAGAGAATGTGTTTCACTTAAAATTCACTCCCGAGAGAATAATCAATACTGTACCATATTCGAGAGAGAATAATTTTTTTTTTTTTAATCTTTGAACAATAAGAGAGAATTAAAAAGGTGGCACGAATGACATTTTCTTGACTCTTTGTTTTGTTCAGGTGAATGTTTAAAAAATGAAATCTTATATATTTTTAGATATAATTTAAGATTACATTTTCAATTGAGCTCAATTCAAATTTCTACTCACAAATTTATATTTGTAGGTGTCTAATACATGTTTGACATGTTTTGAAGATGGACACCATTGAAAGTCAAAGGGTAATTTTGAAACCCTTTTCAAAATTCAAGAGTATTTTTCCAAAAAAAAAAAATAATAGTATCTATCTAAAACTAATAGTTAGGATATTTCTACCCTTCAAAGTTGGGTGTTTTTTAGATTTTTTTAAAAGTTTAAGGATATTACTGAAACTTTTGAAAGATATTTGTTAGAGGGCAATGTTTAATAATATTTTTATTAATTTAGCCTATGAATTTTGAAAAAAAAACATAACAACAGATTAAAATTAATTTAATGAAATTAATAAATAATCCGGCTTAATAAAATTAAAACTAAAAAATTAATTTATTTTAAAACTAAAAAGTATGCATGATTATACACTTGGTGACTGGGCATCCATTATTCCAACTAAAAAGAATTTAATTCGAAGCTATTTCATAATGAACATACATCTATTAGTCTCTATTGTCAAATTTCATTTCTTCAATTTAAGTAGCAGTCAACTACAATTATAAATATCGAACCTATAAGTATTCATGAACAAAGCCAAGTTTACAAAGTCGCTTGGAACTATTTATCAAAGGTATTAGAATGAGCTCCAAGAACATAATATATGGATATGAGACACAATTATGACACCACATGAACAATATTTCATGTCATTTTTAAAAAAGCCTAAAACATAAATACGAAAGAGCACACTTTATTTTTTTCTCCTTCCTAACTTATTCATTCTCACATTTAACATTAAAAAAAAAATTAAAATTAAAATAAAAATAAAATTAAAAAAACATAAACATGAAAAGTGAGAAAGAAGGAAGAATAAAAAAAAAAACCCTTAATTTTAGAAGGGTATCAAATACTCTTTGACCGATGTAATGTAAGCATGAGAATAATTTATTCTCACGTTCCTCTCCGACACTTGTTGGATATGTATTGAAAACTTGTTAATACAATAGAGATATTAGATATTTATAATCCAACATTTCATATCACTTGATTTTGATTAAGTTTTGACAGTGAAACATATATTAAACTATATTTAAACATACAAATATATAATCTTATTTATTTTGAATTTTTTTTAATATGAAATTGATAAACTTAAATATATATATAATTAATGTGTCACTGCTGTCCTAGATTTTTTTTTAAAAATAGCATCATATTTATTCCTTTTATTCATATTTGATTTTTATTCGGTGACTCTTAGACATGTGGCTTCTATGAGTAGATATACTCACCAAAAAAAATTTTTTGGGGCTTCAATTCTTCTTGGTGTGAAGCTTGCAGCTTCGAATTACTTAGGTAGATAATGTGTTTCACTTAAAATTCACTTTAGAGAGAATAATCAATACCGTACAATATTCGAGAGAGAGAGAATAATTTTTTTTAATCTTTGAAAAATAAAGAGAGGAATGCTCAAGCTATATTAATTTGAATAGTGTTTACCCACGACTATAAATATCAAACTCCAAAGTATTCACCAGCAAAACAAGTTTGTTGAAACTATTTATCACAGTTGTTCCAAAATGAGTGGTGAAGAAGTGTTTCCTCCCGTTCCATTTCCAATTAGGGATGTCGACCACCAAAAAGTACAAGAAGCTGCACGGGCTGCAGTGGAAAGGAAAAACAAGCAGGGACATTGTTTAATTTACAAGCGTGTGGTGAACGGTCTGTCCGATATTATCGACAACCCCTTACCTAATCATCAATATTATATTCTTGTGATAGAAGCTATAAATGACAATGGTATTCCTTGGTCATATATTGCAAAGGTGATGCACTATGGGTTTAACTTTATGGAGCCTTGGGTCTTTTCCTTTGAAGATGTCCTCAAGGATTTCAACAAGCACTAGAGTGCTCTCTCTCTCTGTTTATACTAAGCCCTCTCTCTCTACAATAAAGGAGGGTTACTGTCTTTTAACTATGGAAATGGAATAGAGCCACAATGAAATAATCACATACTTATCTATCTATAGTTATTCTCCTGCTTTCTTTACACCCATGCAAAGCAGCTTGAAAGTCATCAAATATTACAATGGATTAACAACAATTTTATATTAGAAAGAAATTTAATATCAATAAGTTTATGCACTAATATATTTTAAATAATTTATTTTATATTTTACTCTAAAAATTTATTTGAAGTGAAGCGTTCCATACCGATGTTGAATTTATATTTATAGGTGTCTAATACATGTTCTACATGTTTTGAAGATGAACATGAGAATAAGTTACTGTCGTGCTTTCTTTACACTCATTCAAACTAGTTTGAAAGCTACAACTTTAATTTTGTTACGTAAGGAAGCGTTTTGACCAAGGGAACGAAGATTAGAATGAAATGAACATAAGAATAAGAAAGCGAAATAAAATCTTTTATTTAATACACATTTTCAAAGATGAGACAGGAGAATAGTTATTCTTATACTTTCTTTACACTCAGTCAAACCGCTCCCAAAATCAAAGGTTTCTATATGTATGTTCTTCTATATCATTTTTCCTCCTTTCTATTCCTATAAAGTTTTGGCCAAATTAATAAAAATATCTCTAAACTTTATAATTTATCTTAAAAATACCTCTAAAATTTAAAAAGTTTCAATAATACTTCAATAGTTTTTTAAAAGAATTCTTCAAAATGTTCTTATGGATAGTTTTGAAACCGTTAATACTTTGTTTCAAAATTACCTTGGAAGTTTGAGCAATGTTTCTAAATAGTGGTTGAATGGTAAGAAGTTTCATTAATACCTTTCAATTTAAAATTAAAACTCTTTTGAAAATTCCAAAATAATTAATAGTAACTATCTAAAAACTAGTGGCTATGATATTTTTAAATTTTAAAGTCTATGTTGTTTTTTTTTTAGACTTTTCAAAAAAAATTTAAAGATATTATTGAAATATTTTATTAATAGTGATTTTTAAAAAATATATATATATATACCATTTGTTTTTTTTTTTTTGTATTAAGTTTATATTAATTTTACTAATAAAAACATTAAAAATTTTGAATCAATTAAATAAATAATCATGCTTAATAAAATTAATTTATTTTAGTTTGCAGTATAGGTTATAAAAATTTTACAACAAGATTTTTAAAAAAATTAATTAAAAAAAACCCAACAAAATAGGGAGAGGACAATCAGTTTACAGTTAGGTTCCGGCTCAGGAGAACAAGATTTTACACTAGTATTAATTATAAAAATTAATTAAATATTTTATAGATATTTTTCATGCATTTTTCTTCTAAAATGATTTTTAAAAAATACATTTATTTATGGTTTGACAAGTCTAAAATAAAAATTGTTTTTTACTTCCAAACTTTCTACCAACCATTTTTAGAAATGAGCCATTAAAAACCATAACTGTTATAACTAAAAACCATTATAGTTATAAAAATACTACTAAGATTATCGATTCATCCTCTAACAATATTAGTTTTTATTTTTATTTTTCATTTTAACATAAGTTTAACTTATCTTTATGTTGGGATATCCATTTTCGAAAACTCGACGTGTAAGAGCTCTAAGAAGATGATATATTGAAATGAGACACAATTATAACATCGACAAGATTTCTTGTTTTTTTTTTAAAAAAAAAAAACCTATGATATACAAAATACTCTTCTTCCATTCTTTCTCCTTTTTAATTTCTTCATTCTCGCATTTAATTTTTTTTTTTTTTTTAAAAAAAAGTTAAACCAAAGAATGGGAGAAAGAAGGAAAAAGAATGGAAGTGTATTAAATAGTCGCATGAGAATAACTTATTCCTATCTTTGAAACCATGTACTAAAGTTTGAGGCTTTTATTCCCTTTCTCATTTCCATGTTCATTCCAATCTTTGTTCCTTTGGTCTAAACAACCCATTAAATAACAAAATTAAAGTTGTAGTTAGTCAACCGTAATATTTGACTGGCTAGATTTCAAACAATTTTAAATGGGTGTAACGAAAGCACCCGACGAACTTATTCTCGTGTCCCTAATCGACACACTTTGGAGATGTATTGAGACATTTATAATCCAACATGAGAGTTTGAAAGATTACAAAAGTATTTATTTCATTAATGGACGTTACAGATTCTGCAAGCATCTGTTCCACACAACTCATTATAATACATTTGATTATAATATCTCTAGCATATTTCTTATTTGAAAGATTACGAAAGTATTAGACATTTTACTCTAAAATATTTAATATTTAATATTAATATCGATTAAACAACATATAATATATTAGTAATTCATTTGTTTCCCCAAAATTATTTAGGTAGAAAAATGTGTTTCACTTAAATGTATTAAAAAAACACAAAATAAAGGGTAATTATCAAATATATTATGAAATTATAGTATCTAATAAATTGTATATTAGTAGACATTGTTAGACATTTATATCTCAGGAACATCAAATTTAAATGGAAAGATTAAGAAATTTATTAAATACTTAACAAAATTTAAAAATTAGAATTACGGAAGGAATTCGGTAAACATCTTTAATAGGGTGAAGCGTCTTGGCATAAGTGAGAACGAATTCGAGAGACAGAAATCAAGCTAATTTGAAGTTAGATAGAACTTCGGCTAAGGTCATCCAAGTAAGTAGCTTTACTATCGACATGGTTTTGCATCTCATGGACGATGCAAAACTATGGTGTAGAACTTCGACTAAGGTCATCTAAGTAAGTAGCCTTACTATCGACATGGTTTTGCATCTCATGGACGATGCAAAACTATGGTGGCGCTCGAAGGTGAATGGTATAAAAAATGGGTCATGCACCATAAACTCATGGGAAGACCGTTGATTGAATCGATGCCCCCCTAGATGGGTTGCCAATCAAAGACTTGACTTTTGATGTTGACTCATTAGAAGAAAAAGCCACACGATCGAATAGCCCGAAATGTGGCAGTAACTCTGAGAACTCTATCACACACATGGAATGACGTGTAGAAGAGTTAGACATTACCCAAAACATCATACTAAAACTCTTCAGTTATCAGACAAAACACTCCGAGACAACTACACTAGAAATCCACTATCGTCCAGCAGTTAGGGTATCTAGCTTTCATTTAGGAGACCCAAGTTTTATTCTCGGCAATGGAATATTATTTTCTTATTTCTTTTTATTTTATAGTCAAATTCAATAATATCTTAGATTAAAAAGACTTTTATGAACTTCGTACCTTTGTTCGAGTTATATTATAGATATTTGGTTCAATTTCAACAAGTGGGGTTGAGGTGATTCAAATGGTTAATGCGATAATTAGGTCGTTTTCAAGGTCTCTCTTGTTGAACGCCATCATCGCTGAGATGAGCACCCGAGTGAGTTTGCAAGGAGAACCATTGAGAACAACACCCCAAACCAAGTTCATGTTGGGCTTAACAAACTAAAAATCCAAGAACCCAGAGCCTTTAATGGGAACCAGGATGCCAAGAAATTAGAAAACTTTATTTTTGACGTAGAACAATATTTAGATCTCTCTTGTTGAATGTCATCATGGCTAAGATGAGCACCTGAGTGAGTTTGCAAGGAGGGCCATAGAGACCACACCCCAAGCCAAGCTCATGTTGGGCTAAACCAAAGCCTTCAATGGCAACTAAGATGCCAAGGAATTAAAAAACTTTATTTTTGACATAGAACAATACTTGAAGGCCACAGGAACGTTCTTAGAGGACCTAAGAGTTACATTGGTCGCAATGCATCTTATGGACAATGCAAAACTATGGTAGCGCTCGAAGGTGAATGAAACATACATTCACAATGCTTAATTAATTAAACATACTAAAGTGGATTGGTTTTGGCATTTTAAAGCAAGCAATTAACTAAATTATTACATTAATAATTGAAAATAACTTGAACCTATCCCGAGGATCACGAACCGGTAGAACCAACCCTTAAAACTTTGAACCGGACCCCAACCAGTAGAAAAATACTCAAACCGCCTCTTCCATCTTCTTCTTTGATTTAGCTTGCTTTTGTTTCCATTATCGATCAATTACAACCTAAGATGGACTCTAATAATGACTCCATAAAAATTACAGACCATTCTGTTAGGATCGATACCAGTTGTTAGGATCGCACAACAACGCACACGCTCGATCTAGATGAACACAAAGAGAAGGATAGAGAGAAGTTGCAAGGAGAACTCTGGCTAAAAGGATTTCTTTGTATTGATGACTTCACGTATGTACAGAGAGAATTACAGAGAAAAGTACATTTTCAAAGCTCTACCGGACCAGATATATATATGGTATAGTTTACTATATATAGCTTTACCAGATTTAGCCATCTACTATATATAACTATTTACCATATATAGTTTTACCGGATATAGCTTTACCATATATAGCTTTACTATATATAGCTTACCAAATATAGCTTTACCGGATATAACCGTTGACCAAGCTATAAATAAGTATCAGGCTCCATAGCCTAACAATTCTCCCACTTGGAGACTGATCTAGTCAACCAAGAATTTCACTCTTAAACGACCATGAGCATCTTCACTGCACCATACCAATTGAGGTTTTGCACAACCTCAATATTCCAACATCAACACATTTTGTCAACATGTTTGCTGGATTCTTTGCACCCTCTATCTTCTCAAAACACATCACCATCTTCAACCAACCTCCGAGTGAAATGGATTCGCCTTCTGTATTTTGAATGATAGACTGGGTTCCTCACCAACAGCATGAGTCTCAGGAGTTTCTTGAGTATCTGCTACATTACTCTGTGAATCTTTGAGCAACTCAACATCAACTCCCACTTGCTTCACCTCTGGTGTTTCAGCAAGGGTCTCAGGAGTTTC